AAAAGTGAGTTTGGAGAAAAATGAGAGTCAGTTGTGTAGCCAAAAGAAGATGACCATAATTGATTGTGAAACATTAAATACATAAAATTCCACAAGTTCACAGACATAGTCAAGAGAAAGAAAAAAAAAATCATGAACTTATTCGAAAGCATTAGAGATTATACTACACCAACTTCTGACTCTAAACACTGGAAGCTAAAGAGAATAAGTTAAGCATTTATCTGCCTTTCTAAAAGGAGGTAGATAGAGTTCATCACCAAATGATGAGGGTGAGGTCTTCTTTATAGAATAGCAGCTAAGATATGTAAAAGAGCTGCCAAGATTAGAAAACCACTATTTGGTAACCCACAGAGAAATAGCTGATTTGAGCAAACATCACCAATGGCTGCTAAAACCTTGAGATGAAAAGTGTAAGGTAACAGGATATTCTCACAATGACCAAGTACCATCTCAGAGATGACCTGCTTAGAAGAGATGTATCTTTACAAAGGAAAGATCTAGTGATCACCCACCTTAACCAAGAGATGAAGCTAACAGCGTGATAGTGAAACAACTTGCCATGTGCCTTCTGAAGTGACACCATATGAAGTACACACCTCATTTATGCAATATCCTTGCCAAAGGTGTTTCACCCAAACTCTCAGTTTTCAAGAAGTACAGGAGACAGAACAAAAAGTTAAATTACACCAAGAAGAAGCAATCAGACAAATCCAGAATGTGGGACAGCCTGTGGGACAACTGCCTAACCTGTTTAGAAATTCAATGTTATGGCTGGGTGGGGTGAGATGGGGGGAACGTGAATGGATTTTTGTTTTAAAAAGAATAAAAAACAGCAAAATGCAATGCCTGAACATTATTAGATCTTGATTTTATACCTAATACAATAAAATAGGGCTTCCCAGCTGGCACTAGTGGTAAAGAACCCACCTGCCAATGCAGGAGACTAGAGAGACATGGGTTCAATTCCTGGGTTGGGAAGATCCCCTGGAGAAGGAAATGGCAACCGGCTCCAGTATTCTTGCCTGGGAAATCCCATAGACAGAGGAGCCTGGCAGGCTACAGTCCTTGGGGTTGCAGAGTTGGACATGACAGAGCACACACACACACACGCTATAAAATAATCTTGGGAGCAATGGAGAAATCTAAATTTGGACTGGATACTAGATGATATTCAGGAACTGTAACCTCCCAATAATGGTTTTGCAATCATGTAGAATATCTTTATTTCTTATGGGGTTCATGCTGGGTATTTATGGGTGAAACATCAAATTACTTTCAGACAGTTCAGCAAAATACAAACATACATGAGTAAACAAATATGGAAAAAAGTTAACATTCACTGAACTTAAATGGCAGGTATATGATAGGTGATCATTGTAGTTTTCTATCAACCTTCATGTAAGTTTTCATAATAAAAATAAATAATAATTTTTTTCAGAAAGAAAAAAATGTAGGGTCAGATAACGAATGTCCTGTTTTGAGCTTCTTGGAATTTTGGACCTTACTCTTGAAGGCTGAATGGGTCATTGACAGGATCAAATTTACATCTTCGAAAGATTATTGGCTTAATGTGTTGACTCAGCTAGTGTTTACTGACCCTCTAGCTCAGTTGGTAAACAATCCACCTGCAATGCGGGAGACTTGGGTCCAATTCCTGGGTTGGGAAGATCCCTTGAAGAAGGGAAAGGCTACCCACTCCAGTATTCTGGCCTGGAGAACTCCAAGGACTATTCCCATGGGGTCGCAAAGAGTAGGACACAACTGAGCAACTTTCACTTTCACTTTCACTTTCACTTCACACCAAATGCTGAGAGAGGCCGGAGCTAAGTGCTGTGGAAGATAGGAACACTAAAAAGGCATTGCTGGCCTGAAAAGCATTTACCATAAACAGAGGAGGTGAGACACAAAACAAGCTTTCTTGTCCAAAGAGATGACCTGGGGAGCTGGGGAAAGTGCAGATGCACACACCTCCAGGTATTATTAAGCAGTGTGATCAGCAGCATGGCCATGTCACCACAAAAAGGATAAATCTACACATGACTAAGATCTCCTGTCAATTCTAGCCCTTTGATCTCTTATTCCTTGATGGCAGAACCCCACTCTCATATGAGAGATGCTAAAAAATGCTAATTTCCTTGAAGCAGAGTGTGGGAATGTGACTCATTTCTGGCCCAAGGAAACTGACTCAGGTCCCCTGCAATCCACCAGACACTATAGGCAAAGATTTTCTTCCCTGATTGCAGAGACGTGGGAGAAGACCCCTTCTCCTCCTTCCTGCCTGTCTTTAAGTGCAGCTGGGTGAGACTGTAGTGCTTGGAGTCTGGGAACCCAAAGGGGAAACCCAAGAGAACCAAAGCAGAGAGGGGGACCCAGAGCCCTGACATTATTGTGCTACTGAAGCAAGCCTGTGACTTCCTATCACCCAACTTCTTGTTACGGGAGAACTTCTTGTTACCCTTTTTTCCAATACATTCATATTCAAGTATTGATACTTAGAGCCCCAAACCTCCTCACTCAGCCTCCATCTGCATCCATGTGTGTCTGGAACCACTCCTGACTCTGGGACAGAGCAGTGAGAGGGAGCCTTGGCCACATTTTGAGTCGCTCAAGTCATCGAGTCACTGCCCCCTGTCGAGCTCCAGCAGCTGTGGACAATCAGGAAGGTTCACATTCACATGTCAGCTCCAGTGGATGGGCGGTGACTGATGTGCTGTGCTGAAGGTTCTGATGCCCTTAACCCTTAACCGAGTGAAGGGTTAAATGCAGGTTCTGCGTGAAGCAGTGCCTCCAGTCCTGTGCCAGATGACTGCCTGGGCCTCATGTTTACCAGCGTATGTTCAGAAGGTGTTTGGAAGCAGGAGCCCTGAGTTTGAGCCCCAGCTCTATTGCTTACTGGCTCTGTGATTTTGGTCATTTAATTTCTTCGAGCCATCTTATGGGATAACTGTTATGCCTGAGATGAGAGTGACTGTGCTTTGTAAACCATGAAGTATATCACACGTAGGAATTATTTCATCTTATATTTGTCAAACCTCAGCTCAGGACCACCTTGACACAAGGCAGGGAGAGGAGGAAGGAATTCAAGTTTCCAACCTTGGACAGTCCGTAACTGAACACCTAACCAGACGGTGCCAGACCTGGGGTACAGAAGCAGGACTAACATGAGGTTGGAGCTTCAGGTAAAAGTGACTCGGCAGAAGTGAGCTGTGGGCCTGACTGGTGAAATGTAGTTGGAGAAGATTCCAAAAATGAAGATGCTAAGGACAGAGATAGAAATCACAGCCTGGAGACGGAATCTCTGGGTTTTGTTTTTTCACTCCCTCCATGTTGGAGGGACAAGGCTCCATTTGTCAGTACCAGTGGCTCCCCTCGGCCAAGGACCTCAAGGGATGAGAACGTGGAAGGAGTTTCCAAAATCTTCAGAGGGTAAAGGAGCGGGGGAGTCCCCTCCCTCGGTGAGGCCACCCCCAGGCAGGGTACCTCCTTCCCTGTAGCAAATGAGTGCAGTGGACCAGAGGGGGAGCCCAGGTGTGAGGGGAGACAGAAATTGAGAGAGACTTTGGCTAAGCTACAGGTAGTAAGACGCTTCTTTTCTTCTCTCTGCTCCCCTGTGGTGTAACACAAACCCATTACAGTCCAGAAAAGCCCAGTAAGTGAGAAGAAATCAGGTCTTGGGCAATAAAACTGGGTGAGAAAGGGACAAGGGACTCCTAGTGTAACAAGAATTACTCCGAGAAGCCCTCACTCTCCAGGTTATTAAAAGTCCAAATTGCCTTGTGAAGTCAGACCTAGAGGCCAGAGTGAAGAGATTCCTTTAGCCACCCCCATGTGGATCTGACACACTCATCAGCCCCATGTAGGAAAACAGAAAAAAAGGATAGACTGGCAATTTCAGGCAAAACTGAGAGGAGGCTGAAACCCGGGACAAGGGGCAGAATTCAAAGCTGTATTTGTCCATCGCTGTATCTCTGATGTCTACAACAGACCGACACACACAAGAGACAATGAATGAGTAAGACCCTGGAGCAGTACGGGGATGAAACCCCCATCAGATGGGTCCTGCAATGAACTGAAGGGAGGGCTGTGGAAGGGGGCTTGGGAAGTGGAGACTCCAAGCCTCTGAAGAAGCAAGTACATGAGCTGATCTGGGCAGAGGGCCGTCCCAGTTCGCAGCCCCGGAGGACTCTGCATGGGTCCCAAGAGGACGCTCAGACCTGGAGAGGTTGCTCACACCTGGAGAGACTGCCCCCCAGACCCTTCTGCACTCCACCTACCCCTAAGAGCAAGGCTCTGGGTGTTCGATTGTTTTTTTTAATTGAAAATATTCCAAACTGGGAGATTCTGATTCTTGCCACTCTGTTTTGAAGATACAGCAACACCAGGCCTGCGGGGCCCCAAGTAAACAACCTGGCACTGCAACACAGCTGCCCCAGCTACACACACCCCCGACTTCTTCCCGCTGCCCCCAGACACACACAGAGCTAAGACCTCGAAGAGACAGCAGCCAGCCAGCCAAGGACAGACTCCAGCAGAAACTAGCCCTGCCGTCACCTTGATCTGACATCTAGCCTCCAGAACTGGAAGTCAGCTTCCGTTGTTTAAGCCACTCGATCTGTGGTACTTCGTTATGGAAGCCCTAACGAACTAACACGTAACATCCTTATAAAGCAAATATGGCCCACTTCACAAATTTAATTACCAGCCTAGCCCAAAAGCATTTCAATATAAACAGTTTTACTCATTCTTTCATTCAATATTTGAAACATTCAACCTGAACACTGCACATTTGTTGATTCATGCCCAATAGCATACAAATTTTATTTTGTTAGTTAACGACTCACTTCTAATTTTTTTTTTCCAGCCATTTTCGGCTGGGCAGCTTTATGCGGCATTTGGTTGTCTGCTGCTGATCCTCCTGAGTTTTGGAAAATGTTCCTTGCTATGAATCTATTAAGAACAGCATCAGAAACTTTAGTTTTCAACTCTGGCTAGACATCAGACTCACCTGGAATGTTTTCAGAATAAGTATCTACACCCCGATCAATCCCTTTCCCCATTCTGATTCAGCTGGTATTTGTGAGCTCTGCCAGTGTGTGTGCATTTAAGCTTCCCACATAAGTGACGTGTAACCAAGACCGAGTGCTGTTCCTCGAGTCTGAAAGGCCCTTGAAGTCACCGCCTTTGCTACTCCAAGCACAGCTCACACACCACCAGCACCAGCACTGCCCGGAAGTTCGTTAGAAACGCAGAATCTCAACTTCCACTCCAGACTGCTGCACCGGAATTCGTGTTTTAACAGGATTCCCCACACGATTCAGAGGAACTCTAAAATTTGAGAAGCTTTGCACTAGAATTACTTGGAAAGCTTGCTAAAAACAAGACTGCCTGGCTTCTTCCCAGAACCACAGGATCTCAATCTCTGATAAGGGCTTGGGAATCACAATTTTATATATTGTTATAGAGCTAGTCACACAAGGGCCTGAGGCTTAGGAATCACTCATGTATACCACAGTATACATGCCGTCAACTACCCAGCCTCTGCTTAACCTTACAATTCTTTTTTAAAAATAATAAAATATAACAGAGATACAAGCTTTTATTGTTTCCATCACACATGCAAGGTTACCGCTATTTATACTATTTCAAACAGAGAAATAATTGCATTATTACCAGAGTGCCAAATTACCAAGACAACCGGTTACTGATTACTTTTGGGAGGTTATTTTCACAGAACACAGCAACAATTTTCAAATTATACTTTACTTTCAAGTTCAGAGTTATATCATGAGACCAGGACACGCTGATAATTGTAATAGTCTCCATATTACAGGGGGAAAAAAAGACTGTTATTCTGATGAAAGGTCTCAAGTAAGCACCTTATCAAAGACTGATAGATAAGTCTTTGAAAGAGTTTACAACAGAGCAGTCTCTCTTTGCTCTTGTGGACACAGGGAAAAGGCAGCTTCATTATTTTTTATACTTCTTGTCAATTCTGAAGACTTTCATTTCGAAGGCCCATCTCTGGAACGTCATTAGTTAACATGAAAAGCAAAAAGCAGACCTGATATGATAGTTACGAGTGCACCCCACCACGATCACCACCAGCAGAGTGTCTCAGTCTCCCAAAGTGGTCCCAGTTGAACTGGCACAGTGTCTTGAACTTTCGATAAACAATACAGGCGGGGAGACGGAGATGCAGATGAAACTGCGTTGACCATAACTGATAAATGATGTAGCTAGGTGACGGCACATGCGGTCTCTCCACTTCTGTGTGTGTCTGAAAATGTCCATAATAAAGAGGAAAAAGGTTTTTTTAGAAAAAAAGAAAAAGCCGACCTGTACAGTTCTATTTTCCCATTAGGCAAAAAATGGGGGAAATGGTAAGATTTATTCACAGACAAAATAAGTAGCACATAATCTTCCACAAAACACAAGGCCACACCTAGAACAAAAGAGAAAGTACCCAAAGTAACGTTATTCAGACCCTTGTTTTTGTGATTTATAAAATCTACCAAAAATGAGAGATTGGACAAAAGCTTGGGCATACCCTCACCTCGGCAAACATTTGCCCACTGCCCTTTAATTCCGTCCCTTCCCTAGGGAAGGTTCCTCCCCGTCCCTCTGTCTCTGAGAGATAGCTATCCTCTCCGGGAGGCTCCTCAAGCCACTTCTAGCTGCTTTGCCAAGCGCTCTCCACACCAGGTTTACTCCTGTTCTAGGTTTTTGCCCCAGCTCCCCTGCCCCAAACACCCTCTTGACAGCTCGAGTCAAGACTTGCCTAGCCCGTGGGAAACTCAGAAGGAGGTCTTCTGTAAGGAGAGAGAAATTAGGGTGAAGGCAAGTACAGACACCCTCAGTACTCACCCCACCCTCAGGGATGAGGGGGAAAGAGGGCACAGATAAGCCTGGGCAGGGAGGGCGCAGCTCAGCTTTTACACCTGCTGGAAATAAGCCCTGGAGACTCAGAAAAGGTACTCCCCCTCCCCCATCCCCATGCCCCAGGACAGTTGGGATCCCCATACTGGAGACTACAGTCTACTCCCAAGAGTACGTGAAGGTAGAAACCTCACTGCTGAGGGTGAGAGCTGGGGAATGAGAGTCCAGAGGGCAAGACACGCCTGCCCAGAGGAAGAAACAGAAGGCAACCAGGTCTTAGGAGGCAGAGGAAAAGGCCAAAGCAGAAGTAACCCCTAGTCCCCAACACTGCTGCCTAGGGGGGTGACCGTTCCAGCAGATGCACCGCCATGTGAAGAATCTCAATGTCAGAACTACAGAAGGAACCCAGAAGGCGGGAGGGAGCAGGATCTGACCACCGACCCACCTGGCCTTCTGGCTTCCTCTCCCCTCTTCCAGCCCAGTGTGTGCGTGTGCAGAACAAGGCCTGAGCCAACTCACTAGCTGTATGCAGAAAACCCTGGTTTCACAACTGTTTTGTTTTCTCTCTGTTTTCTCTTTCAGAAGTACCACTATTGAAACCAAAAAGAAGAAGAAAGGAAGGGAGGGACGAGTGAGGGATAAGGACAAGGACAGAGGGGAAGAAGGAAGAGAGGCTAAGGAGACAGGATTGCGGAAGGAGGTGTAGATGTGTGAGGTCAAGTAGACACGGGCCCACAGATCTGAAATCTCTCTTCCCCAGCAACCCCACGATAGCACTCTGGTCACGTGTGAGGCAGGGATTGGGGGGGGTGGATAAAGGTGCCTAGATTTTAAGTGAGTCCAGTAGTCACCCTCACCTGGAGCCACAGCTTGACGACAGTGAGCACATGTCCACACGTACCAGCCTGCCCATCAGTCCGGCAGCCAGCAGGGATCCTGGAAGGCTGGAGAGGGTAGGTGTGTGTCTCATGCACCGGCAGAGGGCCTGTGTCCACAGGCAGTTCTCAAGGTCCTTGTTGCCCAGGAAGCCAATTGGGGCCGACTGGCAACCTAGACAAAACTCAATGGCCTGACAGTGATGAGGTATGATGCAGACCTTGACAAAGGTTTACCAGGAAGGAGAAAGGCCCAGAGGCAGGAAGAGATGCCAAACAGTACAGAAACCACAGCAAATCTCACCCTGAATCTCAACCCGTGTCTAGGAGGGCAGCATGGGTCCCTGGCCAAAGCCAGAGATCTTGCAGGTGGCACCTTGGCTGGTAACCCCAGAGCCAAGAGACAATCAGTTTAGGCTGATGGCCAATGCCATGTGCGCTAGCTTCATTCTGCAGTGGCAATCGAAAAGCCTGCCACAGATGGCATGCATGGCTGGCATGAACTCGAAGCCCGGCAAGTCACCGGCCCTGAAGCAGCAGAGCCTGAGGATGCGCTGGTCCTCTTGCTGACTGACTCATGAGTGTCCATGTGAAAGACAGGTGGGAAAGGCCAGGGCCAAGAACAGGGTCCAAGCAATGTAGAGAAAGGCAGCACACACTGGAATCAAGTGAGTTTAACACAAACAGGAGGGGCGCGATCACGTAACATATGATACTAATGTAAAGAAAAAGCAAGAACGTCACGGGGAGGCAAAAGAACATGATCATAAATGCCATATTCTTGTAACCGAAGTCCAACAGGAACAGTGTGCAGAGGCCAACACGAAGAGAAGGCAGACAGCCAAACACCCAAGGCCAGCCGGGCATGAGGCCAGCAAGAGGTAGGACGCAGACTTGAGCAGGATCAGTTGGACTTGTTTACCCCAGGCTCCGGGGTCTCCCCTGGCGGCCTCGCAGGACCCAGCCTGCCCTCCTTTCCTTTCTCTGCACGGGCCCCTTCACTCATCAGGTAGTATTGTAAGGGATTGGGCCACAACTCCTCGTTGATTATCTCCACAATCTTGTCAGACTCGATGGAGCTGTGGTTTGAAAACCACCCAAAGAAGCTCCGGCTATTGTCGGGGTTCCCCTGGCTAAGGGTCTGGAGGTCGTGCCCGGGGAGCCACTGGATTGGAGTGGAACGAGACACCACCTGACCCGAAGGGCCGCACCCGTATTCCTTGATGAGCACCTTATTTTGGAAATAGGGGTTGCGCCCGAAGTAGAACTTGATTTTGTAGCCCAGTCTCGCCAGGCCGAGCTCTTCCACCTCCAAGCTATTCAAGTAGCTGAGGACCTCTTTATCCTGGTTGTTCAGGAAAGACGAGAGCTGGGGGTGGTTCTGAAAGGCCTGTCCCCAAAAGCCTGGAATATTCTGGATAAGGAGGTTCCTGCGCTCTAGGTGGTGCAGCCGCAACTGCCCAAACTTGCGGGAGAGCCGCAGGTAGGCCCGGTCCGCCTGGGCGTTCATGGTCTCCAGCTTCAGCTGGACGTTCTCCAGCGTATCCATGCTGCCCTCTGTCGCCGGGGGCCCTGACCCCGCGTTCTCAATCTTCTCCTCGCCCACGGGGGCGGAGGCGGCCTCCGCCGCGGCCCCTTTCTTCGGCTTCCCCCCGGCCAAGGCCGCAGACCCCCTCCCCACCGCACTACAGGTATCTGGGGTCTTCTTCGCCGCAGGGCCGCGGCGGCTTCCGACGCGGGGCCCGTTTCTCAGCCTCGCCACGGTGCCCACGGTTCCCACGAAGACAGTGTCGGTCAACAGGCGCTCCGGGACGGATGTGGCCTTGGCCGGGCATGGCCTGGTCACCGCCTGCCCGAGAGTCCCCGCTGCCCGGGCCCGGAGCGCGAGGCCACAGTCTAGGGGCAGCCGGCAGGCAGCCTCTTCCCCGGACCGGCGGGGCGGCGCGGGCTCAGCGCCTTCCGGGCCACCCCAACCCGCGCCAGCCTGCACCTGTGCCGCCATAGTCTCCTCCCCGAGCCTCTGGCACTCTGGAGGGTCCGGGTCCCGCGGGGCGTCGTCAGGCGCGGCGCGGACTCGGCCTTTGGCGCGGCTCTTGCCACGGCCTTTGGCGCGGGAGGACCTTCTCCCCTTACTCCGGCCGCTCATGGCGGCGGCCGACTGGACCTCAAAGCCGCGATGCGACCCCGCGGCCCCCCTGGTGTCGGCTCACGGCCCTACGGAGCGGGGAGCTCCATGGCAACCGCCAACGTCACGACGGCACGACTGTACCGTCGCGCGAGGACGGGATGCGCCCGCTGATTGGCTCCGCCGCCGCAGCTGCGCAAGAGCCGCGACCCTCGCGGGCGCCCCCACCCCCCATCTCACCCCCCAACTCACTCACAGGTTACAGAGGGATGTGCTTCCGTTTCCTTTTTTTCCCTCCCCTTTGGTCTCAGGTGTGCTCTCAGGGTCCTCTTCTACAAGATACCCTCAGGACAGCCATCATTATCAGTACCCCCATCATATGCTTTCTAAACTAACCATCTAAAGTTCCTTCCATTATCTACTGTAACATCTGTCATGACGAACCTGCTCCTGGTCTGTCCCATCTTTGAAAGACTTTGCTGAGGGATGTGCTCTGGTACTTTTAACTCCAGGGACTTTAAAGGTAAGTACCATAATGCCAGGCCGCAGAGCGATGTGACACGTGGTCGGAGTTTAATAGTAATTACAAAACTAATAGCGAGTAGTATTTTATGAGTATCATTACATCAGACACTTTACTATGTGCTTCATATACCTTTTCTCAATGTATGAAGGAGGTATCATTATCATTCTCATTTTCCAGATGCGAAAACTATGGCTCAGAGACGCCAAGGAACATTCTTGACATAACACAGTAAGGCGTGGAAGCATAATTCTAACCCAAGTCTATCTGACTCATAACCTTTGTTTTATATTCATAAGTATCTAGTCCTTCCAGGCCTGTTCAGCTGTAAATTACTTCATTAGTTTTTATGAAAGTCAGACTCAGGACTACCCTAGTAGTCCAGTGGTTGGTACTCAGCTTCCACTGCAAAAGGCAAGGGTTCAATCCCTGGTGAGGAACCTAAGATCTCACTAGCTGCACTCCATAAGGAAAAAAAAAGTTCAACCTTACCTGTTGCACCAGCATCAGCTGAGTACATCTTCATCCCGGCACCATCACGCACATCCTCTATCTGCCTCAAGCCTAGTTTAGAGAGTCAGGCTATCACTCAAGGTATAGGATCAGGAGTGAATGCTACAAGTCAGAATTACTTGCTATAATTGGAGTAAGACAGGGATGTGTTCAGAGAACTATTATTCAAGGAGTAGAGCAGGGCTTCCCAGGTGAAGGTTCAGAAGCAGAGCCCCCATAGTGGCAGCAGGGAGGCCCTAGAAATTTGTTAGACCCTGCATAGAAACAGCCAAACAACATCTCTCATATTCCCAAGAGAGCTCTGGACCGTACCCTTACCAGCCAGGTGAAAGAACATGAAAGAGTGAGGCCAGTGACGAGGTTATGACCAGTATGAAAGCTTTCAGGATGTCCTTTTAAGCTCAAAGGGAACAAGAAGGGCCTTGCAACCAACTAATGGGGGAGAAATCCTCAAAGCCCCTTGGTTCTCAGTACTTCTTCACTCTCATTTCTCAGTGTGGGGTTGTCGACTGGCAGTCTGGCATCACCTGCAAGATCGTTAAAAATGCAGAATTTTAGGCCCCCCTCAGAGCTACTAATTTAGAATTTGACTTTTAACAAGATCTCAGTTGGATTGTTTCCACATTCAAATGGAAGTGTAGGAGATAAGGATTAAGAGGAATTGTTTTGATTCAGGTGGACTTCCCAAGTGGTGCTAGTGGTATAAAGAACCCACCTGCCAATGCAGGAGAGGTAAGAGATGCCCGTATGACCCCTGAGTCAGGAAGATCCCCTAGAGAAGGACATGTTATCCCATTCCAGTATTCCTGCCTGGAGAATCCCATGGTCAGAGGAGCCTGGAGGATTACAGTCCATGAGAATTGCAAAGAGTCAAACACAACTAAAGCAACTTAGCACAGCAGAGGGCCTTACTTCAAACCAGCCTAATACAAGTGACTCCTTTCTTTCTCAAAGGCTTTACAATAACCTGCAAGGCTCTCCATGATTTGTTCAGTTCCCTCCCTGCCACTACCCCGCTAACCTCTCTGACCACATCCTCCTGTCTCTCCCACCCACTTCCAACTACACTGGCCTACCTACTGTTCTTCAGACTCACTAGGTAGACTCCTGCCTCAGGGCCTTTGCACTGGCTCTTTGCCCAGGTATGGTTCAACTCCCTTGGCTGGCTCCCTTTACACTTTGCTTAAATGTAACCTTGTCAATGACTGTCCTATTTAAAATTGACACCCAGCCCCATCCTTCTAACTCTGCACTACTTTTTTTTTTTTTTATTCCTTAGCACTTGACACCTTGGTAGCCCTTCCCTTCGCCAGAGGATCTTCCCACTCCAAGGATCGAACCTCTGTCTCCTGCATCTCAGGTGGATTCTTCACCATCTGAGCCACCAGGGAAACCCATAACACACTATACCAACTCTTCATTATGTTTATTATTTAACTGCCTCCCCTCTCTAGAATGTCAGACATCAGGGCAAGAATCTTTGTTTTGTTCACATGTGACTACAACAGTGTCTGATGTCTGATACATGAGAAACACTCAATAAATAATTGTTGAGTGAAAGAACCAAAGCAGAGTTTTAAAAGTGAGTTTATAAATTGATTTTTCACTTACTCTGAAATCCGAATATCCCTCTTTTCCTCACAGAAGCAATTTTATAGGTGCAGCTTATGTATGCATATCAATACATGGAAACCTATTAAGCTGATAATTTAGCTTTAGAAAGCATCTTTTGATATGGGCACCATTCAGGGACAGTCTTGGGTAAAAATCTAGAGTGATGCTTTAAAAACTAAGTTAGGGGAATTAATATTTAACTTAAAAGGGATTAAGCCAAGAATCACCTTAAATCTTGTTGAAGGCCCTTTCATAATCACTTCTTCCCAAGGCCTTCCATCATCATTTCAGAGCACAATAAACAGCCCTGGATCTCATAGAGAAGTTGTTAACTGTAATACATTCATTTGGCAATTAGACATGCAGTTTTGTGCTAGTCCTTGTATAGAATTACCTCTTAAACCAGACAACCACAGTCTGGAATTCTCTGTAAATCTCGGCAGGGAGTCAGGGGGCAGGGTGGGATCAGCTGAAGTCATCACCATCCCTGTATAAACTGCAGAAATTGATGGATTGGCTCACTTTTCAGAGCACTAACAGTTGTCCAGCATTAACATCTGCATCATAACGCTTACCCATGACTAAACCACTGCAGGATTAACGTAGGCTGACCACTGCTGCAGTGTTTATTATACAATCTGCTTGAGCCTTTCATCATGTCAAAGAGATAAGCATTGGGTAAAGAGAAGCAAATGTGAAACTGACACCTTATATACAGTCCTCTGTTCCTTGGGAAGCTGGTCTGTGCTACTGAACTACACTGTTGGTTTGCTTCTCAGGCATTAATAGTTAATTTATATGAGACTGCATCTTGGGTTTCCAGTTAGACAGTAGACTGCATAAGGATAGAGACTGTGTCTCTTTTTTATCCCTCAAAGCACCCAGCATGGCCCTTATACATACTAGTAATTATAATACAATTTCACCTTTATTTTGCATTTTATCCAATACCATGTTCCAAACCCTGAATCCCTAAACCACTCCACTGGGCAGGTACAGTTATTTTTCCCATCTTAGAGCTGAGGTTCCTGCTGTACAAAAAGATCCTGACCTTGCCCAAGGTCACGTAGCTAATAAATGGTCTTAGCTCAAGCAATCCAACTCCTGCACCCATGCTCTTAGCCACTAATCTGAGATGTAAAATTATGGCTTGATAGACTGAAATATCAGACTCTCTCTAGTGGGTAAAGATACCTTTTAATTTTCAAATATATATATATATTTAATATATATGCACGTGCCTTCATATACATCTACAAATATGTAAAAACTGATATGTATATATATATATATATGTTGTGAATCATTTTCTATGGTGTGTATATGTGGCATGATGATGCTGAAGAGAAGTGAATTTCACTTCAGCAGTCTACATTGGGAATAAAGCATCTTCATTTGCACTGCATTTGTGAAAATCATTCTATGAATGTTATGAAATACAAATTAACTGTCATGAACTCAGACCTGGAAGCATTTTCACCTTTCCCCGATAACTAGTCTTCACTGTTGTTCTCTGAAAATTGTACTTCTTCCATTCCTTTTAAGGTCTGATTTCTTCCAATCATAGAAATTAACATGCTGGGAAAAAAGACATTCCAGTCATCTAGCCTATTCCCCAGTCAAGAGAACCACATTCCTCACTGTCTCCCTGCTGATGGGCATTAAGATCCCAGATGACATTTTTTAGCCACAAAGATTTTCTTTTCCCCCAGGGTGATAGTTTGAGTCTGTTAGATGAGACAGTGAGTACTGCTTACTGTATGAAATTTTGCCAACTAACCCTCCCAGATTATGGAAGATCATCAAAAAGGAGAGCGACATAGGGAATATTTTCAAAGTCAAAGAGGGAAAGAAAAAAATCTGCCTCTTAAAGGTAAATTGTGACAACTATTTGAACTTAATATCTTGAAAACTGTGCCTAACTTTTTCCCACTTCCCTCCCCCGACCCTGCCGCCCAAAGAGCAAAATTTTATAGTAGACCACCTAACACTCAGTTCACGTCATATTTTGTTGTTGTTGTTCAGTCACTAAGTTGTGTCCAACATTTTGCGACCCCATGGACCGCAGCATGCTAGGCTTCCCTGTCCTTCACCGTCTCCCAGAGCTTGCTCAAACTCATGTCCATTAAGTCAGTGATACCTAACCATCTCATCCTCTGCCATCCCCTTCTCATCCTGCCTTAAATCTTTCCCAGCATCAGGGTCTTTTCCAATCAGTCAGCTCTTTGCATCAAGTGGCCAAAGAATTAAAGTTTCAGCATCGGTCCTCACAATGAATATTCAGGGTTGACTTCCTTTAGGATTGACTGGTTTGATCTCCTTACTATCCAAGGGACTCTCAATGTCATATAAGTAGTCTCATGTCATATAAGTAGCTGCAAAATATTTTAAAGTATTGGTAGACATAATCTTCCTCCCTGGCATTTTCTTTTCACCAAAAAAAATGAGATTTTTAGCCTGAGACTTTTGTTAAGAGAAGGGAAAACACCAAAGAGCCCAGAAAGAGTAGAATTTAGCAACTCAAATTCTTATTTTGAATTTCAAAATAACTTCTTGAGAGGGGAAGATACAATAGCATTGAAAGGGAAAGTTTTAGCTCTGCAAGGGCAAACCATGGAGTGTTAAGAGTTTATAATATAAGGTGAAAAGACAGCCCTCAGATTGGGAGAAAATAATAGCAAACGAAGCAACAGACAAAGGATTAATCTCAAAAACATACAAGCAGCTCCTGCAGCTCAATTCCAGAAAAATAAATGACCCAATCAAAAAATGGGCCAAAGAACTAAACAGACATTTCTCCAAAGAAGACATACAGATGGCTAACAAACACATGAAAAGATGCTCAACATCACTCATTATCAGAGAAATGCAAATCAAAACCACAATGAGGTACCATTACACACCAGTCAGAATGGCTACTATCCAAAAGTCTACAAGCAATAAATGCTGGAGAGGGTGTGGAGAAAAGGGAACCCTCTTACACTGTTTGTGGGAATGCAAACTAGTACAGCCGCTATGGAGAACAGTGTGGAGATTCCTAAAATAACTGGAAATAGAACTGCCATATGACCCAGCAATCCCACTCCTGGGCATACACACCGAGGAAACTAGATCTGGAAGAGACACGTGCACCCCAATGTTCATCGCAGCACTGTTTATAATAGCCAGGACATGGAAGCAACCTAGAGGCCCATCAGCAGACGAATGGATGAGGAAGCTGTGGTACATATACACCATGGAATATTACTCAGCCATTAAAAAGAATTCATTTGAATCAGTTCTAATGAGATGGATGAAACTGGAGCCCATTATACAGAGTGAAGTAAGCCGGAAAGATAAAGACCAATACAGTATACTAACGCATATATATGGAATTAAAAAGATGGTAATGATAACCCAATATGCAAAACAGAAAAAGAGACACAGATGTACAGAACAGACTTTGGGACTCTGTGGGAGAAGGCGAGGGTGGGATGTTCTGAGAGAACAGCATTGAAACAAGTATACTATCAAGGGTGAAACAGACCACCAGCCCGGGTTGGATGCATGAGACAAGTGCTCAGGGCTGGTGCACTGGGAAGACCCAGAGGGATGGGATGGGGAGGGAGGCGGGAGGGAGGATCGGGATAGGGAACACATGTAAATCCGTGGCTGATTCATGTCAATGTATGGCAAAAAACCACTACAATATTGTAAAGTAATTAGCCTCCAACTAAGAAAAATAAATGAAAAAAAAAAGAGTTTATAATATAAATCATAAAGGAAGAAAAATGTGATATATAAGCCAAATCTCTACCACACAAAGAGGAGACAAAAATCTTTGCTGGCTGGAGTTGAAGAGCTTAGGGAACATTTAGAGAGTGCCTTGTTGGTTTGTTGGTGCAAGATCTTGAGAAAGGAATTCTCACAGTTACCCTTCCATGGGTCAAAACTCTTAGGGAACTGGTAAAGACCACCCTCCCTGAAAAGGAGTAGGGAGTACACCTCTCAGAGTAGGGAGAACTAGTTTCCAGCTTGAAAATTTGGACTCAGACAAGAAATACTCTTAAGGGCCTTTATTCCCATTACAGGGCAGCCAGAAGAATTTGTGCAGGGTACATGTTGCCAAAGGAAGTTCTTTGAATTTTGTGTTTTTAGTGGTGTTACATAGTTCCTTGAATTGCCGTGTTTAAGTTCATCTGAATTTTATAAATTGTTGCAACTATGAAAATTCATATTCACTACAATAATATTACCTAGATTAGACTGAGTAACTGATGGGTTTAAGCCATGCAATACCAAAACAAAAGAAACTTAGGGGACAGCTGACTTCAAAACTCCTTAGAAGGTAAATGACATTGATTATTTTAGAAAGTAACAGAGTATTGAAAGAAGACCTCATAAAACATGGTAATAATTGTAAAAATCAAGAAATTTATGAAACTCCAGTCACCAAATATGAAGATTTTCACTACAATTTAGAAGGGACTGTAAACAAAACTAAGTGCTATCCAAGAGAGTCTTCCATTAATTGCTTGTAAGTAGAACTTAGAATCATGGGTGTACCCTATTTATTGCAGTTACTACTTTTAATATGTAATTTCATAATTGAATTTCTCTCTGGCTGGGATATACATATACCAGACTTCATCTCCAACCAGAGTAGAAGCTTGGTGATTTACAAAGTCTGGTCTTGCCTCCTATGTAAGCTGTATAGTGCCTTCTCTGAATCACCCTAGAGCCATTCCCCAATTGTCCCGCAGCCCTCATCACTTTCCAAAACAAAAAAGCTCCTCAGTCAACACCTCCACATGTTGTCTAGTGCAGAGAGCTGTAGGTGCAAGGTCTCTCTTTTCCCTACCACCTCTTTTCATGCCATATTTTGTTCATATTTTACCCATAATTTTATTATCTTTATTATTCCCTTTCCTGTATGTGCACACAAGCTTTTTTAATAAAAATGTATAATG